TAAACCCAGTAGGAATGAAGATTTTGGTTTAAACGCTTCAGATCATATAGTGCATAGATCAAATACCTGACGCAGGTGAGTTCAGCGATCACGTATTTGTGCCTTCTAACGTATTTGAACCAGTTCAGAGGGCTCTGATAAATGGTATTGAAGGATTCTCTTTGATTCATAGAGTGGCCAATGTTTGCATAATGAGCGAGGATCGCAATGAACATTGGAACCAAAATGGCTCATAAACGCAGGTCGTCTGATAACTACCGACGCAAAGTGCTTTATTGTGCGTGAGAATGAGCAAACAATCAACACCAGTAGTTTATCTTTATCCCTTATGGTTAAAAAATGATGATCCATTAACAGAACAGTGTCGGCGTGTGACATTAAGTGCCGTTTCTACTGTTCCGTTTCGATGTTTCATTAAGGTTATCAAAAANTTTAAGACAGAGAATTTGGTGCAGGTGCTAAATCACATCATAAAGAATGTACGAGCTTCTGAAGGACTGGAGAATGACTAACTCGGTTGTACACCACCTGAGTATTTTAGAACATTAAAATGAGATCCCAGATAGACCAATAATGTAAGCACTACACTTATGCTACCTAATTTCATGCTGCTATCTCCTGCGTGAGGGTGACTAGGCTTATTGTTTACTTTCCGTGGCTGCATTGCATTCGGCGTCTTGGAACCAGTTACACCAGTTACGTACCCAGAAGCTAGACTTAAAACCTAGAGATCCTTCCCGACTGTGTCAATCCACGTCTTTAGCTGATGCCCAAAACGAAAACTCCCGTCTTTTCAGGACACCAATGATAAGTTTTTTTTATATGCTTTGTTTCGGGTCGCTGCAATATATTATCAAAACACTGAAGACAGTAACGTTAGAGAATCGAGAACAGGCTTTATATATTCATACAATGTGGACAAATGGCATCGCTCGAAACTAGATTATACTAGATTATAGCCCCATATCGGAGGAAGCAGTGATCATGGCTTCCCAGCTTTCTCATGTATGTCATTCACGCTCATCGATCAGGTTTAACATGTGTATGTGGGGAAACAGTTGTTAGTGGCTGGTTGAACGCGCAGTTTTTCGTGAATATATATATTTTACTGCAAAACCATATTGGTGTGAACACTTGCATAAATGCCATTATTGCATAGCTCAAGACAAGTTTAGTCTCGTCTCTTGCACGATCACTTGACTGACTAGTAGATCCTTGAAGTGATGTAGCTGCTCTACGGGATACTAAGCAATGAGTCTTCGGAATTCACGAGGAACTGTTTTTGAGGTGTTCATCTCTAAACAGTTGATCTTGACCACATATTAGGTGCGGAAGAGTACAGCTTGGAGACAAAAAGAACCTTCTTCCTGAATGGAATTGTAGCCAGAAAAGTTGACGTCATTAATCAAGGTCAAGTACCTTGACGGTGGCGGTACGATGCATTGCTCAGTTTGTAGCGTAGCTAAACAGCATTGTTGGAGGCCGAAATCGCGCTCCTCGGTAACGAATATTGTGAGTATTTTTTCTGTCTCCTCCGGCTTGTTAATTACATCACAAACTTTCATCACTACCCTATACGAAATTCTGCATGCATTTGTTCAAGCAAATGAACTCATAAGAAAGGATGATGGTCAATCATGTTTACCTTAACTTGGATGAGGATTGAACGTAAACCTGAAAAAAATCATCTTAATATTAAGCTTGGGGTTATACTGCAGTAAGCTCAAGTTGAAATAACTGTGCGTGAATATAATGAATAGATAATGTTCGTGAATTTCTCTGGCAGTATCAAAACAAATCTTCCCGTTTAATACTCATTACAAACAGGTGTAGTTGACCCACAAAACAAATATTCATGTTGCGTGATTTCGCTCTCAGGAAGCATATCTTCTGCAAACAGTCCCAAATAGATCTGTAGTTCGTCTGATTCTCAAGGAGACACGGTTCCTTCATCGGAGATTGAATAGTTCAGCTCCTGTAGGGCTATTGTGTTACGATATAGAAACCTTCTATCTAATCAACACAATGACGGATGTTCATCAATCTTTGCTCGTTTCGTACAATCGGATCTTTTTGTTTGAACAATTCCAACATTTAGCCTAACCATTTGTTAATCTCTTACGATCCGTCGATCTGGGAAAACACGTACAGATAAATCAGTGTATCAGAATATTCATATTCTTAAATACCTCCAGTTGAACTGCCAGTTTCACTACTGCAGATACAATCGGTAGTTGAAAATGACACATGGTCACTGCAGATGGTTGGTTGGTTTTCCCCAACTAAAATACACAAGCACATACAGTACGATTGCTCTATCGTTTCAAATAGTATTATTCCTTTCACCCGTGACCTAGAACAAGCAAATTCCCTCTGACCCTCTCTGCGATCTGACTGAATAATTTTCTGCTATTTGCGGCACTTGGAATCCCTCAGCCCAAGAGGCTTGTACTTTTCGTGATGCTCTTGTTGTCACGTGCAGTCCATCGGTGTGGTTAGGACACTCCTGCTGCACAGCTGAAGTTCACTGAGCCTTCTAATTACTCACTCGAGTTAGGTGGGCACTCACAGCCTCCCTTGTTGAAGCTGGAACATCCGACCGATCGATAAATGATAAATGTACATATGCAATCTCGCGCCCATTGTTCTTGTTCAATGACCGGTGGCCAGATTGTTACAAGCGGATATCCGCTCATGGTTTCATCCATGCAGCACTCACACAGGAATCGCCTATCTATTTGCTCAATGTCTCACCTGATGTCGTTTTGCTAAGTATTCAGCTGAACAAGACCATGTCAACGTCAGCCAGCAGATTGCCCTTGGGCTATCACAAATTCCACTCTTGGTGGCCCGTTGACGAGAACAAATCAGTGGGAGTTAGTTTAGAAAAGACAATTTCGTGGTGCATGAATGACCAAAGACACTATGGGTTCCCACGTAGCCCCGAAATTGATTGAATTCGGTAGAGGAAATGTTATTTCTAGAGCAGCCTAGGGCATCTATAAAGAACATTAGTTGTCGTGGTTTGCCTAAAATATCGAGTACCAAATTTTGTATTACGAATAGAACGTATTCCCCAGTTAACTTTACCTTGGTTGAGTTCATTTATCTTGAGTGGGGGTATAGATGTGTGCGGGTTGTGCGTATCCGTTTGGCTTGGTGGAAAAGTTTGGGCTGGTAAACAAATTTAGCTTGTTGGTATTACATTCCGAATAAGGGACACATTGTTTGAGCGATGATTGCAACAATACACTTTGAGAAAAAGCAAGAACAGTTATTTTGTTTGCGTGTGTGTGTACATACGCCATGCAAGCACTACCCTAAAGTAAATCCACAAACCAAAAACTCAAGTAGGCATAAGGAACGATCAATATGATGCTAATCATGTTACCGGGTGAGATTGGTGCAGAAAATAGTAGAGACGAGATAAGATGCGAGCAGGCAAGGCACAGCCGGTTAGTTAATCAGTCGGTGACCGTCTATATTGTTTTCACAGAAAACGACAAAATGTTCACCTGTGTTCAGTTTGCGAGAAGATCAATAGCCACCTACGCCTTTTTACAGTCAAACTACGGGACCACAATGTAGAGGCGTAGACGTCCTCCACGCGTGGGCTCTAATCTCATCGGTCGTACTGATCTTTCAATAATTGGAACAAAAGGGAATATGATTGCTTCATATGTGGTAATCATGCTTGCGACTGACGTTTGCACAATGTATTTATTGCCGGTAAATTAGACTGGTCGGCATCAGTATACTGGCAAAGCCTTATAAAAAATCTATCTTGTGGGAGATCAACTTGATTGACTGAAATCGTATTCAGATTTAAGACAAGGTGGAACTCTTCGTCGTATAAATATCATAGAAACTTGATCTTTCTCTGTATTGACTTATTCATAAACGTGTTGACATAACATCAGGTTGTGAATCATTAAGGATTAAACATAAATAATGCATACGAGCAAACCAATACGGAAAGGTGACATAGTCATCGAAGTTACACAGATAATGTTAACTAGGGTGGCAACAAAACATAATGAAACTGTATTACGGTACAAATAAAAAACTATCATGAGCATTTATTCATTCGGTTATGGAAAAAAAACAAATTAATAACTTGCATAAAATTCTGATAGTATCGAGCTGGAAGTAAGTAAACTGCGAAACTGAAACATTGAGCAAATAATGATCATTCTTCGAACACTGGGTTCAATAGCCCAAGAAGAAATTTGGGTTGGATCGTAAGTGAATTCCACACATCAACGTTTGCAAAAATCACTGCACAATGAGGTGGAAACATTATTGGCGACTCCGTGAATAACATGTTAATAAACCGCAGCATACCAACCAAACAATTGATCGTATTGAAAATAGATTAGACTTGAATCGCCAGGGATTGGTGGTATATTACTGACCTTCTCTTGGATAACCTTCGATTCTGCTGGTGAGCCACCAGCAGATACAACTTCAGTAGGGAGATTTCGGTGTGCCACGCATGTCAGTATCCTTGGGACTGTGGGAATACAGAAATTATTTCAATTCAACCACATCATCAGCCAACAGAAATCCAACGTAAATGCGGGTTAGTGAAAGGCGCGGTCACCTTGACTGCTGCCGTGTCGATAACGGCGTGCTGTCATAGGTTTAGCGCAAGCTTTGTTGCCAGTTCCAGATTAATCATAGGTATGTGGTTGTCAGCCTGCTCGTTTCGAGTTCGAGCTTCTTGTCTTGCCTTATTCATTTTCTTACTTCATGGTATTTTGGTTCGCGGTGAGTAGCCAAAAGCGCATTTTTATGGTTTGATTACAAGCTGAACGATAAGCATTTGAGTAGCAAGTAATTATGCCGAAAAAAATTCCTGAAAAATTTCCTCAACAATGCGCAAGCTCGAGGGATGTCATTTCAAAGAGGTAAATGCACACTATAATTTAAGCGTCTCAAATAGCCTCTGCCAAGGAAGCCCTACTCACTACCTCCCCATGGTGGAGGTGTTTTCCCACCAAAACGAGGGGAATAAAAGTCGAAATCTAGAGCGGTGAACCTGGGAGAGTTGGCAAAAGACCCTGATTTCAAACCAACCAAGAGTACCGACCACATCCACCCACACCTTCATGTTGTGGCAATGGTCACCATTGCCTTGCGGATTAGGCTTTGGATAGTCAAACGCTCCGGTTTTTAATTCCTCAAGAAAATTCACCTTCTTAGGACGGGGCAACCTAGAATTATCGCTTTTTCTTTTCCAAAAGATAACCGTACCGTGCTTTGTTTGGTACACAGTCTGGATTCAAACATATTTGAAATATATATTTAGATATACATGTATATGTATATATACATATAATCCTATGAAATAGAATGGCGGTGCTAAAGGGGATTAAGTGGTGTATGCTACTATAGTAGTTACCTTGGGAGTCGTGCACTCCATTCTCACTGCACACCGCCTCGTTCTCCTACTTCTTAGGGTCCTCTGGTAACCGATGAATTGGTTTCAGCCCCTGTCCTAAAGGTTCACTATCTGTCTGTTCATTGTATATTCAACATAAAAATGAGTTAAACGATTAAGAAAATCTGACAAATGTCAGCATTTTAGAGAACGAATCTTACTGAGTTTACATGTATGTTGTTCATTATATAAACTCATAATGTAGCCGCTTTGGGGAAAGCAAATCCTCGTCTAACTTGGTCATCGAGCTCCAAGAAAGCGGAGGGCAGTGTGAACCCTAGAGCATGAAAAGCCGAACCGCGAACCAGACAGAACAGGACGTAAGATACAGGAGTATTTTTTGTAGTTATTTCGTTGTGTTGATTCGGGTACACAGAGTTTTATTCTCGAAACTCTAATCCTGAACGGAACTGTCAAAATAATCTT